TACTTAGATCCGCCCTAGTCTTGCGTCGTGTTTGTTGTTATTTTCCGTTTTCATGGTGTTGGTTATAACCGCCTATTCGCTTTTGTAATAATAATATTTGTTTGTTTATTATTGTTTGAGTTAAATCTGATACCATTTGGTATCAGAGCTAGCCTAACATTAGTCTCGTTCTAAGACTATTAGCATCCAACAATGCCCAACCCCACCGCACAAAAATCCTTTCCTTTGCTGATTTTTCAAAGTGGTCAATTAAAAATTTTCTTTTCCATCATATATCATTCATATACACCCTCTTCCGTCTACCCTAACCACACCATCAACGAGGCAATTGTCGGAGACTTGATGGGAAGAAAATGCCAAAAATGTCATTAATGAAAAATCACAAAGAGATGTCTAGGAATGGAATTTTTTTATAGAGAATGTGCAGCGATAAATCCTCCAACTGCAACAGAGGCTTACCGCCTTTGAGATAAGGCAATCTTGAAAGGTCAGTCATAGCCACAATAGTGACTTGCCAGATCAAAAAATACAATGAATCCCTTTCACCAGATAGATTTCAAAGAAGAAGAATCACTGCCCAAAGACTTGGCATAAATATCAAATAATTTAGTTTTTTTTAAAGTAGAAGTAGATTTGTCATATTTTGACGGTCATAGGGATCCAGACAAGTTCATCGAATAGCTCAGGACAGTTGAATGTGTCTTTGAGTACAAAGACATCCCACCAGATAAAATGATGAAACTAGTCGCCCGTAAGTTAAGGAGGAATGCATTTTTTTGGTTGGAGAACTTGATTCTTTGACAGCGAGAAAGTAAGAGTAAAATTATTACAAGTTCTAAGGTAAAAACAAAAGATTCAGTGCCAATAACTATCAGCTCTTTACATACAGGATATTCAAACCCTAACTTCATAAGTGGAGAGCAATCTCACCAAATGACCGTAACATCTTACAGGCAAAGTTCAATCCCAGGATCACACAACAAGAGTACACCCAACGAAAGATCTAAACGAACCTCACTTGGGAAGATGTTGGTTCAAAGCAAAAAACAGAAGGAATCAATCTGAATTTCAAAATCTGTCCCAGCCGGAAAGTGTCTCAAGTGTTACGGGTTTGAGCATAATAAATCGGATTGGACAACCAAAAGAATGATCTATTTCACTGACCAGGGGCAATCCAAAAAATTGTCAGTGACACAAAAAAGGATGAAAATGTCATAAATGGGTTTCAACTTCAAGCCAATGAGAAAGAGATGTTAGTGATTCAAAATGAGCCCACGAGAGAAACTCCAACCGGATTAGTGGGAATTATTCTAAAAGATAATGAGCCTAAGGAACTGATGCCTGAGAGGGGGAAACCCTTATTGAGGGAATTGCTAGCCAAGTATGACTCACCTGAAAGTGGTCCAACATGTAAGAAATGAGAAGCTTGTGAGTTAATGCAGGGAGACAATATGGACTTGTTTAGATTAAATTCAGTTCAACAGTCTGCCCACCAACAGATGGCCAGGGAAGAGATGAACCGCAACTTTGGAAATTATTGTAGGAGTTTGGTAGTGAAGAAAATTCTACAATGGGATCCAAGTACTACCAGAGTAAAGTAAGAGGCCTCTTTCGAGATGTTAATATTTAGAGTTACCCAGGCCGCCATAGCTTTCATCCCAGACTTGTGTCCTCACACACTTATTTATCAGATATACTTAGACAAGTACGAGGAGTGGAAGAAGTAGGGCACATACGTGATGATTCGAGACTTGATTCATGACAATACTCGTCTATCTATAGTATCCAAAAGGATGCAGATACATATTCTATCATGATGTGATTTGGAATGACAATGCCAATAGGATGGACATACCGAAAAAAAATAACATTTCCTCCGCCTTCATGGTGGTCGACCGGACACCATACTCGAGGAGCCAGAAGCTCTGAAAAATGAGATTGAAGCCTGAGAGTTACTTCTGAGAGATTGACGCGGGTGGAAGCAGCCCGCATGCAGAAATTCCCATGTAAGCAACAACCCAATTACTTTGCCTGGACTGAATCGGTCCAGATTTTTTCCCTTTTGAGGAGTCGGTTGGTCCTGGTGGGTTAGTCCTAGTTATCCAATTGCGATATATTTATTTTCATACGAGTCAGGGTTAGTTTTTGGCTTGTGCTCCTGTCAAGGCAGTGATACGAACCAAGTAAATTTTCCACGAAAATTAGGCCAAACAACTATGTTATTGCAAGAACATCAAAAAACTCAACACGAATATATAAGATAAGCACCTCCAATCAAGTAGACGATCTCTCCCAAATCATACAATTAGAGAGGTAGAAAATCTCTCCCAAACCATAACCCTAAGACTCAAGAAACAATCTCATGCATAACCCTAACTCAAAACATATTAGCCCTATTTATATTAAACAATAAATTATAATGATTAAATTGCCCTTAGGCGTCATCATAACATTAGTACCCTCCTAAAAAGATACATTGTCCTCAAAGTGAAAAAAAAATACAGTTGGATTTGGTCGTATGAATCCCGTGTGGTGTCATCATCTGGTAATCCTTTCCATTTAATCAAAAACTCATAGTGACCCTCACCATCTCGAAATGTCGTATTGTGAGCATCCTTTGGTCGCAGCAAAATCTAATAGTAACCTGACTTCAAGTCAATGCTGTAGAATATCTCCACCCCAAACAACTTATCCAGTAGCTTATCAATCCCTGGGATCTCTATCGATCCCACATGATGTGTCTCTTCCACAATATGCAACACAATAAAAAATCTTAGCTCTGCTTCCTGAACCACCCCCATCAGTCTTCAATGGCCCCGACATCTTGCACAAATCAATTCCTATCAAACTCCCCCACTCTTCTCCACTTATCTTCCCATCATTACTTATGAATCGCCTTCTGCTAGAAAAGCTGCCACCACAAAAGGCACTGACGTAGTTGGATGCAGCCCTCTGCTTGGATTCGACCCACCATAGTTCCCTTTCCTAGGTCAAAATTCTTCGAAGCTATCTTCTCCAACCTTGAATCGCACATTGTCGCATTCTGCCTGTTTCCACTCATTCCAAACCTCAAAATTTCGTGATATTCCCTCCAAAGGCTACTACTCAAATCTGCTTCTGAATCCTTCACTCGATCCTACCTGCTTTTGTTTCTTCCAACCATCTGAATGTTGCACTATTTCTTTCAAATACTATCACTCAAATCCACTCCTGATTCCTTCACTCCATACAACATCTCTTAACCTGCCTAAAGCTAACTCTTTTTGCAACTGTAGCTAATGGATCCCATCGTTTGCGTCACAGTTAGTTCTTTGCAGGACTGTATTGCCCCTGGCTATCACAAATCACGACTGAGTCATCAATATTACGACACAGTTAGTTCTTTGCAAGACTGTATTGCTCCTAGCAATCACAAATCACGACCGAGTCATCAATATTACGACGTGATAGAGACATGTAAACTATGATCCCTTCTCTCGCGACTATTTTGCAAGGTTTCATCACACCTTCCTATATGTTTTGATCACGTCATTGCTTCCTAGATAGCTCGATCACCACTGTATCAAGCCTATAGGCATGTTGTGATCTCGACGTTACTTCCTATCGTAATCCCGACATTGCTTCCTATTGTAATCCCGACATTCCCAGTAAGCTCCGACACAGACTTTACTTCTTAGCTCGGTCAAATCGCGATTGTGCCATGTACGTCACAATACTTCCCAGGTAGAATGCGCTAATACTACTTAATACGAACCAACTGATTTTACCACATAAATTAGGGAAACCAACAATTTTATTGCAAGAACATCAAACAACTCAACATAAATACATATGATAAGCACCTACAATTTCAGAGGTAGGCGGTCTCTCTCAAATCCTAAAATTCGAGAGGTAAGAAATCCCTCTCAAACCCTATCCCTAACCCTTTGACTTAAGACAACAATCTCATGCATAACTATAACCATAAACATATTAACCCTATTTATACTAAACATTAATAAATGATAAATGACTAAATTGCCCTTACGCACAGGCATAACAGACAGTCGTCAGCGTCTCCTGTTTTTCCTTCTAGGATTGTATCCAAAGACGAGTTGTGCTCCAGCAGTATCTCGTTCTGAGATGGTGATTTTCCTCCAAAAATCAAGTGGTGCTTTAGCTATATCTCGCTCCCTACCGCTTCGTTGACACACATCCTCCTCACTGCAAGCGCCCTAACAGGCACGTCCTAGTTGTTTTCTGGCAGTTCGTTCTCTCCCAACCTCCCCCGTCCTTACTGCTAATCACCCAGAATCCTTCCTCCCGCATCCTTATTATTGTTCCAATCGCCATAATCATTTTTGTTGCTGCTCCAACCACTTAGAACCATCCCCCTTGATGCCTCTTCACTGCCAGCCACCCAAAATTTTTCCTTTACACCCCTACTGTTGTTGCAGCCACCTGAAACCATCCCCCTTGCCCCCTCCTTGCTGCAGCCACCCAAAATCATTCTTCCTACAGCCCTACTACTGTGACAACCGCCAAAATCCTCCACGAGGTTGTTCCAGCCACTCTGGACCACCTCTAACCATTGTTCCTCAGTTGTCCTGCCTGCCTACCACCTTGTTGCCACCTTTATAAGTCCCTAGCTGTCACCACCCACCTCCATAGATCTGCCCTAATCGTGCGTCGAGTGTCGTGTGTATTGTTATTTTCCATTTCTGTGATGTTGGCTATAACCGCCTATAGGTTTTTGCATTAGTAATATTATTTTTTTATCGTTGTTTAGGTTAACTCCAGTATCATATATTGAACACCCAAACAACATTATATCGATGGGATCAAACATTATAACAAGAGCTTATAATGTTTTTCCAAATTCAGGCATCAAATTCATGAGCTTAACACCACAAAAAAAAAAAAAAGAACCGTACAATGACCTAAACACCCTAGTATAGATAAGCAAAGTTTGAAATTTAAGGAAAATTGGATTTAAAATTTTTTTTGTGGCTAAAGAACACCTGAAGTAGCTCTTTCAGACCCATCAGCTTTGGCTGTCCATCAAGAATGCTAGGCAAAAACAAAGATCCAAAATAAAAATGTCAGAAATTCCATATCATACTTACAAAAACTAAATATGGCTGCAGCATAATAATCAACAAAATAGTACAGTACATATTCCAATCACCCACTCAAGGTACAACAAAATATGAAGTGTTCTAAATGAAACTAATATTATCAAGATATGAACTTGATACAGCACAACTGGAGGGTGGTGGAATGGTAAAATCAAGACCTTCCAGCCACGCAAAGAAGACTCCATAGCATTCATACACACACAACTCTCAGTTAATTCCTTTTTAGGCCCAATATTAGTTGGTACTCTTCTATAGATTAATGGCACTGTAGATACATTTAATGTGTTGCCATGAAAATGATGTCAAAAAAATCATTTACATTTCAAAATAAATGTTATAAGAAATTGTTTCAAAATCTGAAACTTGGGAGAATTTCGTAACATAGGGAAATGATGGATTGACACAAAAGAATCTGTGTAGATGACATAATTTCTGGTCATCCATCACTCCCAACAATAGGGAATTCCTTTTACATTTTTTGTTCCGCAATGATATCATGCGGAACAAAACAACATTGAGAACCAGCTATATATATATATATATATATATATATATCACACAGAGTATTTCGGGCAAAAAATGCTTCTAGTCATGTAAAGAAAACTACATGGTCAGCATATATATATAAACCAATTTAACTGAAACACTTATATCACATTTTTCACAAAACAGATTCTTCAACTGTTAAAATTACACTTACTGACTCCAATGGAAAACAAGTTCCAAATTTCTTACCCTACCATATTGCAACTGAAACTAGATTGCAAAGCTGTGAGACGGTAAAGGTTGTTGAGCACAATGGCTGGGTCTGAACCCCTTTTCAACTGAATAAAAGACGTTTAGAGAAGAATTACAAGATAATGGATTATGTAATAATTTTAATTTTTACCATTGAGAAAGAGAAACAATATGTAATAGTTCCAGTACTAAAAAATTTACAAAAAAAATATATATAAAGGCCCCAAACCTCTATAACAACACGCATCCCAGTGCGATCACTCTCATCTCGAATATCACTTATACCATCTAATATCTGAAAATAAGTAAACAAGGAAACATCATATTTCACTGCAATTCTTCTAAATATGTTCTGTTTACAAGAGCTAACAAACCAATACAGCTAGCAGAAATTATTGGCAACAACAATTATTAGATCCCATAGTGTTGGGGAAAATTATAAAAAAAAAATGCTCAATTCTTATAAACAAACAATTGATCAGAGAATGTTATTTCAAAAATACCATGTCAACACCAGGTATGCAAAATTCTATCGATTTAATTAAATAAATAACAGGATAACAATTTATGCAGCATATAATAAGGGTTAAAGCTAATTAAGAAAGAGTTTGACAAACACAAGAACCCTACATTTATAATTTCATGCGTAAACAAAAACTTTCAGAGAAAGTGCAAAGAATTGAGTTTCAAGCACAAACGTATAGTAGCCTTGAGGCATTCATAACGATGAAGATACGAAGAATTGTAAAAGAATCATCAAACATGCAACATATTAGCATATTTGAAAGAAGTGGCAACGCCGCATCATGTCAGCAGCATTCAAATTTTGTAAACTCTTCAACCGGGAATGGCTGAACTGGTTAAGCCAAGGAGGCAAAGGGCCGGCCTACCCTTTGCCCGGTTTAGGGTTGCCGTCCAAGGGGAGGGATAGTTCTCTACTACTATATATATGTTCTTTTCTCTGATTAGGGTTCAGTTTTTTCTTTAGATTTCTGCCATCGGCGTCTTTCTCCCTTGCTAGAGTTATATCCGAGAACAGGTGGTGCATCTACTATATCTTCTCCAAGGTGGTCACTACCTTCCCATATTCCCTCCTCTCCTGCCTTCCATTGCTGCTGCACCTCTCCAGAACAATGTTGTTTGCTGCTGCTGCCTCCAACAGCTGCCCGGCTTGCTGCCGCACCGACGCACTGCCAAACTGCCAGTTGCCGCCCCTTCCTACCTTCCCCGGCATGCTGTCTACCAGACCCTCCCCGCTGCTGCTGTCAAACCTCCCTACTACCTATACAACCCTTTGTTCCTACATCCTCGTCACACGGTCCATCACCACCGCACCTTGCCCTAGGGAGCCTTCATGCTTGTGTCGTTGTTTTTCCTAATTTTAAGAGTTTTTGATTGTAACACCTTTGAATTTCAACAATAATATTCCCTTTCCATCGTGGTATTGAATAACTCACTAGCCTAATCCTAGTCCTATTTTAGGATTTCTTAGCATCGGCCATACCCAAACCATCTCTACTCCAAAAATAAATTTATTTCCCATCCTCAAATACCCTCTTCCAATTCCCAAACCCTAATCATGCCACCAAAAAAACAACTGTCTGAACATACACGAGAATAGATGTCGCGAGAGATCCGTCAACTTCAGCAGATATTTGCAAAGATTGATGACGAGACCTAGTAAGAGATTACCCTCGATTGTAATATGGAGAGTCAAAGGGGAGAAAAAGACGAGGATCTAAATCCCTTCCATAAGGAGGCCTTTAGTGAAGAGAAAGAGAGACTACGAAGCTATGAAATTTATTATCAGAAGAAGCCGAGGAAGGAGGCAACATATGGAGGACATAGATTTTATAATACAAGTGGATGTACTGGAGATCAATGGAGGTATAGATCCAGATAATTTCATTGAATGATTGCGGTTGATCGAGAAAATATTCGAATAGAAAGAGGTGTCGGAAGATAAGAAGGTGAAGCTTGCGGTCATTAAATGGAAAAAGAGCGCCACCTTGTGGTTGGAGAAAAATTGAAGAGGCAAAGAATGAGAGAAGGAAGTGACAAATATACAACATGAGAGAAGATGAGAAAGAAGATACAGAAGAAATAATTACCTCCTCACTACCGCCAGGATATATTTTTGAGATTCCATCAACTACAATAGAGAGAACTATCAATGAAGAAGTTCACAGCACAGTTTGAACAAGTACAGATTAAATGCGAGTTGGTTGAAAAAGAATTACATACCATAGCCCAATATCTAGGGGGCCTGAGGATAGCTATCAACAACATTGTTCAACTACAACCCAATTGGTCATTGAGAGAAGTCCAGACCATAGCCTTGAAAGTCGAATGACAGCAGAGACAAAGAAGACAACCGCCCTCATTCAGCAGCTACCAACAACTACAGCTACCAATAATGCCACACCTAGAGAAGTTGAATAGACTAAACAAGAAAGTGACAAGACATATTTGACTGAAAAAAATCCCTAAAAGGATAATTTGTTCAGTACTATGCTTGTCAGGAAATGTTTTAGGTGTCTTGGTTATCAACATAGAGCCTTTAGATATCTCAGGAACCGGTTGTTTATTCACGAAGTAGGGCGTCGTCGAGGAAGTGGATGAAGAGTAAGCATAGGAGGGTACGGAGGAGGAAATTCAGCTCCAAGGAGACGAGGGAAAAATGCTAGTCATAAGGAGGGTTTTATAGACTCAGTAGAAGAAGGATCATCGTGTGGCTCAGGCATAGTATTTTCCACACAAATTGTACAGTGAAAGAAAAATTCTACAGTTTGATTGTTGATGGTGGGAGTTGTGAGAATGTAGTATACACTTTAACAGTGAAAAAACTGGGTTAGCCACACAGAACCATCCTCAATCCTACTTTGGTTGAAAAGAAAAAAATGAGATGGGCGTAGATCAACTGTGCTTAGTTGAGTTTTATATCGGAGATCAGCTAAAAGAGCAGGTGTGGTGTGATGTGGTACCTATGAATGCTTGTCATATTTTGTTCGGTAGGCCATGGCAATTGACTGAATACCCAACACAACGGGTTAAGGAACACTTATTCTTTCAAGAAGAATGGAAGGCGCTTATTTTTTTGCCTATCAAAGACACGAGTGGACATCACAAAGGAGATGTCGGTAACAAGAGCCACCATTATGCAGTAGGTACGAGAGGCTTTAGTGGCAATGGGCTTTGGTCCTAAAAGAGGGAGCAAAGTAAGAGGTTAAGATACCGGCGCCCATACAGACCCTGTTATGAGACTTTCAGGACGTCATGACCGACAACCTTCCAAAGAGATAGTCACCTTTGAGAAATATTCAACATGCCATAGATCTCATACCCGAATCAGTGTTACCAAATCGGCCTGCCTACAAATTAAGACATGCATAATATAAAGAATTTCAACTACAATTACAGGATCTCATTGCGAGGGGTTTCGTCAAAGAACCAGCCCGTGTGTTGTCCCCGCCTTGATGGTACCAAGAGAATGTGCATTGACAATCAAGTCTTCAATAGAATTACTATCAAATACAAGATACCCAAGCCTCGCCTAAAACTATCTCTTGGATCTGTTGCATGGAGTTATTATCCTTTCCAAGATCGACTTACGCGGGCAGATATCGCCAGGTCCGAATGACTCCAGGGGAAGAGTGAAAGACCGCTTTCAAGGCCCGAGAAGGAGTATAGGAGTGGGCAGTCATGCCTTTCAAGTTATCTAATGCACCGAACACGTTCATCAAATTGATGAATCAAGTGTTCCAAGCTCACATCGGGAAGTTTGTAGTGGTGTACATTGATGATATTCTAGTATACAGCAGATCCGAGGAGCACTTACGCACCTAAGGATAGTCGACGAGGTTTTGAGATTATAGAAACAATACGCCCATTCAAAGAAGTGACATTTCCTGACATCAAAGGTAAACTTTTTGGGCTATATTATGTCTAATGCATGCATTCAAATGGATCCCACGATGATTGAGGCCATTGTGAGCTGAGCGGCACCTCAGTCTTTTATTGATTTGAGACAATTTTTGCGCTGACATCATTCTATAGGCGATTCATCTGGAACTTTAACACCATCATAAATCCTAAAACCGAAATTTTGAAAGGTAAGAAATTCCAATAGACAGATGCAGCTCATACCAATTTTCATACACTGAAGGAGAAAGTGACTCGGGCATTAGTATTGGCATCACCGAACTTCAATCAGCTACTTAAGGTGGAGAGTGACGCCTCCAATGTGAGGATCCAGATAGTACTGAGCCAAAGAGGCCACCCTATAACATTCTTCAGTAGAAGTTGAATGAGTCCAAGAAGAAATATTCGACTTACGACAATGAGTTCCACGTGAACATGAGAGATCTTAATCACTAGAGTCCCTACCCACTGACGAGCGAGTTCGCCTTATTCACAGATCATGAAACTTTGAAGTTCTTGAACAGTCAAAATAAACTAAAGTGCCGACATGCACCCTGAGTGGATTACTTAAATTGTTCTAGTTCGTGCTTAAGCACAAGGTGGGAAGCCAAAATCGAGTAGCAGGTACACTGAGCAGCTGTCATTTGTTGATCACTTCTATGAAGACTCAAGTCATAGGCTTAGAGGTGATGAAAGAGTTGTACGGAACAAATGAAGATTTCAGAGAGATTTGGGAGAAGTTTCAGAAGAAGCCTATTGAGCCATATCACAGGCTGATAAGTACATGTTTCACCGGAATAAGTTGTGTATTCCCAGATGTTCGTTAAGGGATTCCATTATTCAAGAGAGCCGCAATAGAGGACATGCAAGACATTTTGACAGGAGTAAAATCTCGCACTCATGAGGGAACGCTTTTTTATACCTCGATAGATGAGAGAAGTAAAGCGGCAATCAGGCAAAGCAGGATTTGTCATTTGACCAAAACCACATGGCAGAGTGCTGGATTATACACTCCATTACCAGTACCGGAGGCCCCATGGTTGGATGTTAACATGAACTTTGTGGTGGGTCTTCCGAAAAAACAGCGGAACAAGAATTTTATGATGGTTGTAGAAGATAGATTTTCAAAAATGATGCATTTTGTACCTTGCCAACGAACGTTTAATGCATCGCATGTCGCTGATATGAATTTCAAAGAGGTCGTGAGACTACATGGGATACCCGAGACCCTCCTCCAACAGAGATGTCATGTTCCTAAGTCACTTATGCAAGAATCTATGGGGAAGCTTGGCACTAAGCTTCAATTTAGTTTAACAGCTCAACCGCAGACGGGTGGTCAGACAGAGGTGGTGAACAGAAGTTCGGAGGACCTTT